GGTCATTGTGAGTATATGGTGCAGGGTGGTGAAGGGATTCACTAGAGACAGAGTGATGAACAGAACAGGCCGATTAACAAAGTGCACTGCTGAGGGGAGTAGTGGATGAGACAGGAGAGGTCTGCTGCACCATGTGGATCACCTCTGGAGCAGGGATCGAACTCATACTGAAGCAGCTGTGGCTAGCTTGCAGTGCTGCACTTTAGCCCATTGCACCACCAGGGAGGGCCCACAAAATATATTTCTCGTATATATTTGTTCATCCAAGTTTCTAGACTTACTTAGTTTGTCAAACCCTTGGAATTTGCAGTGTTGATAGTGATAAAGTTGTCTTTTGTTAAGTGAAAGAGGTGACTTTTGGAAGCACAGAAGGATTGGGGCTGGTTGTCTGGAGAACCAACCTTGTGATTTGAAAATTGGGATTTTCATATCCCACCTCTCCAACCCACCCCCACCTCCAGGGAAGGGAGAAGGACTATACTTCATCCAAGACCAATGATTTTATCCATGGCCCTGTTAAAGGACACTTCCATTAAAACCCAAAAGGACATGGTTCAGATGGTTTCTGAATTCTGAATTGGCTTCACTGGAGAGAGCCTGGAAACTCTGCACCCTTTCCCACAGCCCTGCCCTGTACACTGCTTTCATCTGGCTATTCCTGAGTTATATCCTCTTATGATAAATCCAGGAAATACAATGTTGCTGAGTTCTGTGAGCAGTTGTAGAAAATAAATAGAACAGAGGAGGTTATAGGAATCTGCATTTATAACCGGTGAGAAACACAGGTGAGTCTGGGCTTGCAAATGACCTCTAAAGTGGGTGATGGTTTGGGAACACTGATCCCTTTGCCTGTAGCACCTGATGCTTTCTAGTTAGACACCTGCTGGAGAAATACTCCACATATATTCACAATGGAATTGGGTTCAGGAACCCACTCAGAGCACCAAAGCAGAACTGCACCATTAGTGATGTCACCACTATACACCTGCCCGATTCTTTGATATCTTAGGTAATGGACTACGACTTGTTTTCCATGGAGTATCTGATTCTGTAATGATCCTTCAGTGCCTCCAAAAAGACTGGAAAATACTGGTTCCTGCCTGAATAGGTTTGGTTTCCCTTTTGCGGGGTTGTTCTTTCTGCATGCTACTGAATTCAGTTCAACCAGCCATAAAACTTATTTTTATTCACATTGTTTAACACTTTGCCCACTCCTGATCAGTTTCCCCTCTGCTCCCAATGGGTTGTCATTTTGAGCACTTAAGCAGCATAAGCACTTATTTTATAAATGTCTAAACCTATTAAAGGCTCTTTTATTTTATTTATAATTTTTAACTCCCTAAGTTAAACACTGTCTTTTTCTTTGTAAGAACTCAATAAACAAATTCAGTTCCAGGGAAGGTAAACTACATGTACACAGACCCTGGGGCAGAATATGTATGTGTTCTTGAGCAATGGCAGAGTTCAGTGGATATAGGCAGGATGTTAACGAGAAGAGAATATGGAAAAGAGGTCAGAGAGAGGAAGGGGAAAGGGCAAGGTTTGTAAAAACCTTCATTTACATTGTTTATTATACTCCTTAGTATGTCCTAGTTATACGTTGCCTAGGGATATATTATGCTGGAGAGCATCTATGTCTGAGATTTTAACCAGATTTTAAGATTTTTATATTTTACTTTAAAGAAGTGGGAATAACTCAATAATATGCTTCAGATGAGAGTTGATTACCTGTATTTGGCTGTTTTGCTTTAGATTTGTGATTATTTAATTTTTTATAATTAAATATAATATGTATGAAATAGTTTTTTCAATTGTTCAATTTTTTTAATCATAGGTAAATTAACATGATGGATTTCTCCAAGCTACCCAAAATAGCTGACGAAGATAAAGAAAGCACATTTGGTTATGTGCATGGGGTCTCAGGACCTGGTAAGTATATATGATAGTTTCAATAATAAAGACTCTTACCTTCAAGTAATATCTTTTCAAGATCTTTTATATAGAAATACATAGGTTCACCTACATTAATTCTATCTGTCTTTAAAAGATTTCACAACCACTTTCTTAGAGGAAATACCATCATAAAAGTGTACCTAGGATTCCCCATCTGAATTTGATTATTATTGAGGTGCTCATTGTTGATGTCCTGTTTACTATACAAATATTTTTACCCATATATCATAATTTTTTTTTTTAAGATTTATTTATTTGTACAGAACTGGGGTACAGGCCAGAGATGCGGAGGGTGAGAGGATTCACCAGAGACATAGTGGGGAGCAGAACAGGCACATCGACGAAGTACACTGCTGTGGGTAGCAGCCGGGGGGTCAGGAGAAGTCTGCCTTGCCATGTGAATCTCTTCTGGGGCAGGCGGGGATCGAATTCATGGGAAAGTGGCTTAGGCTTCTTTGTGCTGTGCTTTAACCCACTGCGCCAGCTGGGAAGGCCCATATATCATAATTTTTAATGAAATCTGCATAGAAGAACTAAAGTTTATAGCTTTTAGTATGCAATATGTTAAAAGGTATTCAGAAAATAGCCTTTAATTTGGTTTGAGTGCTAATAATTATTTTAAGATAATTTGCTTGCAATAACAAGCTTAGCTCTTTGCATAGATAAATCTTTGTGAATGTTTATTTCAGATATCATATAACTAATGACTTAGAGAAAAGAAGTCGTAAGACATGATGGTGATAATGGAAGGTAGTATTAAACTTGATGTTCATTCCCCTAAACTTGGGGCACTGTATTTTAAGTAATAGAATTTTAAATAAACCTCATTATTCTTTTTATTACTTGTGCTCCCACTGAAAAATGTGGTTCGCAGTATCCTAGGATTAAGAGAAAAAACTTCTCATTGATTTATAATTCTTAGTGCCATAGAAATTTGTGCTTTGTCCTCTTAAAAGCTCATGCTCTACATCATAGTAGAAGTGATGCCTTTTTTTGGTGTTTATGCAAATGAATACTATCAGTTACTGTTCCTGTTATTTCTCCCCCCAAAAAATTCCACCTCTTAGAACTTGGTGGTTGAACTTGTACTCACTGAAATACTATACATCTACAAATCATACATTTTACTGTGTTTAATCTCTTGGAATTCAGAGAAACAGTTTTCCCTTTGATAATCATAAGGATTTTTAGGAAAAACAGGCCACAGTGGAAACACTGTTAGGGAAAAGGCAAAAAACAACGCCATCAAAAGAATTTGGGTGAAAATATTTTTTCAATATATCACTCTGGAACCTACTTATAATTCCTCAGTACTTTGTAAAATAATAGAGAAATGGCACACTTTTCAGTTTATATAATATGAATTAAACTTTTAGTTCTCGATGGTAGTTTAATATCTTAATTTTTTCATAGAACAAGTGTAGAGTTAAATCTTTATGAAATATCTTTATTTTAATAAATTATATGTTAATACTTAAATAGTTCTAAGTTGAACTTCACTAGCACATAGTTTAATAAATTGTGTCTGAAGACTAGATACTAAAAATAGATTTACTCCTACATATATCTGAAAATATGTAACCATTCCTCCTTGCTAGAAAAATAGTTTTTGTTTAATAGAAGGTGTAGTCCACAACACTAAGTATAAATTCTGGTTCAGTATTTGAAGGAAATAAAGATTCTTAATCAGGACCTCATCTATCCAGTGATGGTGACTAGTTATAAACATTATGGCTAATGAAAAAAAACTTTCTTAAAAAATTTAATTAATTATTTATTTTTACATCATTCTTCATTTTGTGCATTTTTCCATCTCAGTTGTAGTCCCCGTGGGCTTCCCACCACCATTTCACCCATGTGCCATCACCATAGTCCCAGGCCCTCTTCCCACCCCAGTTTTTATCCCATCCCCTTTCCATCCCATACCATGTCTCTGGTTTATAGTTGTTCATTGTTCTCATTTTTACTTTATTATATTTGCTTCTCTCTCTCTCTCTTTTTTTTCCTTTTCTTTTTCCCCTGATCTCTTATGTTCCTGCTATGAGTGAACTATCTGGTAATTTTCTTTCAGGTGCATACATGAATGTTTGTAGGTATAGCTAGCAACAGCTCATCAGAAAGGTCAATACTCCAGAATGGTTCTTGAGAACCATTGGTATAAATTGTTAGAAAGTAAAGGTGTTTTAGGTATTTATCTGTCAGAGGAATTGTGACAACGCAGCAAACTGATACTTGTTCCAAAATGCATTATCCCATGTTTTATAGCAATGTGTATTGATCAAAACGTACCTCAGCTTTACTAGATAAGAGCTTACCATCTAGAACTTAAAAGTTTTTGAAAATAGTTTTCATGTTTATTATGTAAATGGATAATCTTTAACAAATTTCTTTTACCTCTTTATCACACCAAAAAAGATGCTAAAATATATCATTTTAAAGAAACCATAAGTCTGTTTATCATGGGCATTTATTTCTCCTATGAATGTATAAGAGAGGTATATTATTGGATTTACTGGATATTTTGATTATCTGACTATCACAGTGTTGTAAGCCATCAAAATACTCATTTGTCCTTTTCAGTGGTCACAGCCTGCAACATGGCAGGTGCCGCCATGTATGAGCTGGTGAGAGTGGGCCACAGTGAGTTGGTTGGAGAGATTATTCGTTTGGAGGGTGACATGGCTACCATTCAGGTGTATGAAGAAACCTGTATCCTTTTGGTCTGATAAATAGCATCTCTCTACAATTTAAGAATTTATGAGAAAGCTATAAGCTATCAGGAGTACAAATGTTATTATGAAGAAACCTTCTTTGTCAGTGCTAGGAATTGGTGCTCTTATTTTAAGAAGTTGGTATTACCATATGAACTTTCTTTGGCCTTTGTATTTCATTAGTTCACAAACTAGGAGGGACCAACTAGAATTTTTTTTCAGAGGAATACGTACATTTTAGAAGAAATAATATATAGAATAACAACATTGATTTTTATGGCTAAAATGATTTAATTGTGACTTCTGTTTAAAATAGTTAAATCCACAAATAAATCATTTACCACTTTAATGATAATAAATAGTCCTGTGCAACATGTTACAGTATAACTGTAGCACGAGGGAGTCTTTACAGTATGTTTGATTTTTATTTTGATACATGGCATTTATTCTTTTCAATTTTCTATGAAAATTTAAAAGATGAACATTACACCTTGTAAAGAGAAACTACCTGTTTTTGGGTTTTTTTTTTTTTTT